GTTTTCATTAATTTGAGAGTTTTTGTTATTTTAAGGAGTCAAATTAGAAGGAAAAAAATAATTCTTGAAGAATTGAAGCAAAACCTATATATATTATGTTTAGAAGAGATCGTATTAATTATAAAGAAATTATTTTTTAGGCTAAATTACTAATTAAATTTCCAATAAATTTATATAAAAATGATTGACTTTGTTTTCATAAATTGTCATTTAAGTATGTTGGTAAGTATGAAATGATTGAAAACCCTAGCTAACATGTCATGTTTTGAAGATGGATACCTTTTGTTATTTTTGTTATTTTGTTTTTTTCAAAATAAATGAAAATGGGAAGACGATCACATGCAATATCTTTATTTATTATTCGTTGAGGTTAGGATCTGTACACACATATTACTTACCAAACAGAGTCAAGTGCACTTTGAAAATGGATCTCGCATGTGAGCTAATGGGCATAAGAAAACGAAAACTCAGATGATAACATAAAAATTAAAATATATATTTAATAAAAATAAAGAGATGTTGTTATCATACAAACAATGATATGACATTACAACAACAATTATTAGCAAAAGGTCCATGCAAAATATATTTTTAATTAAACTTGATGAGCTTGCATGCGTTGACTCCTGTGTTTGGTATTGGATAAGTATGAGTTCAGCTCCTCTCCTCTCCTCTCGAATTCTCTCCTACCAACTTTTATTTAAAGAAAAAAATTACAGAAAAAATTTTCTTCTATTGCATGCGGCCATGAGAAAATAAGTCCGTTGCTAAATAAAAGAATCAGATAACTACTTTACAGAAATTAATGAAATTAACTCAATTAATTGTCCGTATAAAACGTACTCCTTTGGTCTTGTATTTCGAGTAAGTTTTAAAGAGCATGTTTTCTTGATCCTATTTATAGATCACATTACTAAATTTTCTTTGCCAATGCATAATTTTACCTATCGTATAGACTATTATTTTCTTGAAAAGTATATATATTAAATATGAATATATCTTGTTATTAAATTTTAAGATAGTCAATAGGATTTAAAATCTTTCTTGATTTTAGTAAAACATGATATAACTGACTTATACATAAAATTCTAGGAGTAAGTTGGTCTTCCTAATTGAAATATTTAATCAATTTATTAGAAACCACTCATAATTGTTGATCGCATCCCCTTTAATATATGCAAAACAATATAATATAAATGGTTTGGAAAAGAATTACAAATTTAAGAGATAATATAAGCAAGTCCTTTAACTATACATTTGAAACTAAGAGTATACAATAAAGGCCATGAGATAGGCGCTCGAAGATCACATTCACCTGTTCAGTAACTTATACCTTTCGAAATTAAAAGTTCATCATATGAGGATGTTAATTTTTTTTATTATTATGAATATGAAAACCCCTGAATTGCAGTTTAGTTTTCTTGTTATTTTACTACAATGTTAATCTTCCTATCTTGCTCATGCATGCATGTTAATATCTTGATTAATATAGTTTTGATAGTCCCTAATGATGCGGTTTTTTTTTTTAATTTTGAAACCATAAAGCTAATCGTATTCGGATAAACTTAACTGTAAAAATCTGGCATATATAATACTTGTGATAAAAATAGTTTTTTTAAAAAAATATTCGATATTCAAAGTTAATAAATAATGAATAATTTGAGTTTGAATCATCAGGTGCAAAACCTAAAAGCTAAAAAAAAAAAAAAAATCCCGACATAATTGTTAATATACTTGCGAGACTCCAACCAAAACATACTAATTAAAGAGATTCAATTTACATTCATTTTACATAACCCAGTGTTGGTAAGCAATAGTAAAAGAAATAATTATTGAAGCAACACGATGCTTGAGATAGTCAAATCTAGTGGTTTAAAATTATCTTTCTCAAAGGTATGATCAAAGATTGCCACCGATAAAAATTATCAAAAAAGATGATTAAGTTATAATATGTTTGGAATCAGAGGACATAATCATCATGTCCTTTGTCAATGAGATTTTGTTAGATTTATGAAGAACATGAGTGATTAATGTGTGAAAAAGAGAACAAGAATGATTAAATTTGGCCCAAAAAGAAAGAATTGTTAATTATTATTGCTTTGCCACGTGGATATTCACCTAAGCAGTTAGCGCATGCTTTATCGAGGTTTGATAAAGTGCAAAGAGCAATTACATATGTTAAAAGAAACGCCTTTAAGTGACATTACATATTTTCAGTCCCCCAAAAAAAAGTGGCATTAATTATTTTCTCTTTCAAGGACACTTTTCACATTGACAATTTGTTCATCTTTTTAGTTTTTATTGTATATTCTCCACAAAGTTAGCCCAATGATCTCGTGATATAGTAGATTTTGATGATCATCAAATATTAAAATGTTAAAATGTTTCCTAATATGTCATTTATTGCTATATATTGCTCGAAATCTGATTTGAAGACTATATATATTGTTGAGAAATTTAATATGTTATCCACCATTTCGATTTTAGGAAAGAATATATATTAATTGCCTTCAACAGAGAGACCTTGTGAAATCATAGTACAAACAATGATGCAATGATGCAAATTTGATGAAGCAAAACCTCATCGGAAGTTATCTGCGGAATCATTATGAAGGAGACGAAGATTTATTGAGAATGATACAGAGCAGAAGAAGACACGAGCAGCATTGGGCAATTAAAAAAATGTTATGCAATTAAGTTTCATATTTTCATGGTATAAAAAAACCCTTTTTAATGTAAGAAAGCCTACCTAGGAAAGTTTTCAGTTGGCTGAAACCTAGTTAGTTAGTTGCTGATTAGTTGTGAAGGCCATTATATATTATACTCCATCTGATCCTTGTTGTAGATCATCAGATCTTAGATATATAAGTCATTGTTCATGAATTGTTGAGTATGTAATGCTTGTTTTTCTTCAAATTTACCCTTTTGCAATTTTTCAATGAATATATAGGGAGGTTACTTGGCTTTTTAAATTAACTTATGGGGTGAATCAAGGATGAAGATAACTTATCTACTTCTGGATTCTAAATATAGGAGCTAAACAAAAGATTCTTTTCTATTTCTAAATATAAAACTTTAATTACTTTGTCTTCCAAAATTTTAAAGTTTTTTTAAATTCAAAATTTTTAATTTTTGTCTAAAATTTAAAATTTTTAATTTTCATCTAAAATATATACTCCTATTTGATTGTACATACTAAGAGGCTCCTAATCAAAGAGTAGTATCAATCTACATGATTAAAGAGGATGATTTAAAAAAATCAAGACACATTTGTTGTAAATAATTCACTTAACTAATTTTCTTAATTAATACCTGCAAATTAATTATCCAGGTAGCAACATTTCATTATGATAATAACTTTACTTGATTCTGGTAAGATAATTGACTTATATTTAGGATAAAAGGAAAGTATTATGGTATTTACAAAAGTTTGATTAAATAACATGTATATAATCAAATTAAATGTGACAATTTCTCCCTATTCTATTTGCTTCTTTCAACAAAAAAAAAGCCCTGTGCAAAACTCCATAATTCACTGAATAATTTATTACAATAACATTAGTTAATTCCATAATCCAATTAGTTATGATCAATCAACTTTTGACAAAAAAGTTACGTACCAATCAACATAGAAAATTTATAACTAATTTTTTTTAGGGTAATGATGATTTTAAAGCATGAACTTCGCTTCAAACTAAGTCTCTAAATCAACTATTTATGACTCTAATCGCGAGAAACTATTTTCAGGACGAGTCACTAGCTCTTTAACTCGTCATAATAGGAATATTCGAAGAATTTAATTCCATGAGAAATTCGTCAAACGTATCTAGTGTATATATATTTATATATATTACTATTTTCTTGCGATATGAGAATTGAACCCCACATATATTGCCATCAGAATGGTACATGATGTTTACACTGGAGGACCAAGTTGCTGGAAAAGTAGACAGCTTTCCAGCTAAAGATAAAATAACTGATCTAATCGACAATAGAATTCAACCCTTTGGCTTTTCATTATTTGCCTGAACTCCAGCTTTATTCTTTGAATACTTTTGCATCTTTTAATTAGAACTTTATGTAACATATTTTCAATCAAATTATTGGTGAGGTTTTAGAGACATTTCCATATGATTGGGAGCTTTCTACATCTTACCAACCAAAAAACCTATAATTTTCAATATATCTTTCACAGGAGCCTTTATGCAAATATTAGTTTTACAATGCATACAGAAAAAAATGGCTGCAAAAGGGTTAATCATATGGGATAGATTATATATTAGTCCAAGCAATCCAAATATTAAACGCTCAAGTTTTGATCTTTTTCTTCCCTATATCATATATAGTTCCAATCATATATTTAGAGAGAAAGTAACACAAAACTATTATAATTTGCATTGTTGAAACCAACATATTAATGAATAATTTTGAGGAGGAAGACACAGAGCTGGATGTGGTGAGACCATCCACAACTACATCAAGTTTTGCTAAGGTTATATGGTTTAACGTTCTTCATCTGCGTGCGTTCGAGGAGGGACCCTTCAATACAAAGGGTCCCACAACCTGCATGCATGACACGTGTGCTAGCCAGTCCATCCTCACTGTAGAAAGAGAAAAGGATCCCTTATAAGGCGCGCAATTTCTGCAGTGATACACTCATACTACATCTTTTAGTCTTTTCCCAAAAAAACCCTAATTAGTTGGGCCACCATTAGGACAGACATCGCTCCTTCACATTAAATTCACCACGTACCTCACTCTTTTTCACACTATGACTTTTTAATTTAAAAAGAAAAAAAAAAATCTTTGCTCAGCAAGGTTAGCCGGTGAGAGCTTATTACTTTGTCCTCTCCCCCCTCTCACGTTTCTTTATTATTACTTTGTCCTCTCCCCCCTCACGTTTCTTTATATATAATTTCCAAACAGATCTTGTTTTGCACATTAATTGGATTGTACTATATTACTAGTAGTGCTCTCAGAAGATTAACCCAATTGGAAGCATGGGTCATCACTCTTGCTGTAACAAGCAGAAGGTGAAAAGAGGACTATGGTCACCTGAAGAAGACGAAAAGCTCATCAACTACATCACCACCCATGGCCATGGTTGCTGGAGCTCTGTCCCCAGACTTGCAGGTTCTTCTACGAACTCTATCTGCAAATTATAGTTTCTTCTCTCTTACAGCTCATGATTCTTCTTCCAAGGCAGTCGTACAAAGAACTCATTCGTTTTATATATGGAAACTCATATATCGTCTCATATTTTGGAATCAAACAAAGGCCGACGTTTGAAATGCAACTGAACATTAGATATTTTGTGCACGTTCATAGTATTGAGTTTTTGGGCTTGAAGCCTGCCCCGCCCAGCGTATCCATATATATGGTCTCTTTTTTGTTCGGTTGAAAAGCTATAAAACGCTAATAGTTACAAAGATAATCATAAGTTATATAATGATGTAACATGTATAGAAATGCTATATTGTATTATATAATTAATAACAACTACATATTTTAGCTTGCAGGACTGATTCTGATATTTATTTATATGTTCTTTTCATAACTGTGCAGGGCTTCAGAGATGTGGAAAAAGTTGCAGATTAAGATGGATAAATTACCTGAGACCTGATTTGAAACGAGGAAGCTTCTCTCCTCAAGAAGCAGCTCTCATTATTGAACTCCATAGCATTCTGGGCAACAGGTGATTAATTAATTGGTTAGTACTAATGACGCGGGCTAATTTGTTCAGCATTAATTATAACTTTATTGTTAACAGGTGGGCTCAGATAGCAAAGCATCTACCTGGAAGAACAGACAACGAGGTGAAGAACTTTTGGAATTCAAGCGTCAAGAAGAAGTTTCTTTCTCATGATCATCTTCTTCTTCCTCCTTTAACCACTTATAATGCTACTTCTGTGGAAAGCTTCTTCCCTCTTACTCCAAACCCTGAGAACACCAACATGATCCTAAACGCTCGCCATAATCATCATCACCAAGACCAGCTTTACCTTCCCACTTCTTCACAATCACTTATTCAAGGTTTTCAATTCGATCGTGAAGCTTCTGAAAAGCTTAAGATAGGCAATCTCCTTCATGTTCAGAATCAAAATTTGCAGGAAATTACACCATCCAATAGCAGTATTCCATCTTCTTATGAAGATACTTGGTCACTGGTAAACCAAGAAAATAATCAGATTTCCAGAAGTGAACATGCCAATCTGTTATCCCCATATTACATTGATGAGATATTCATGAACCCTAGTTCAACTCTGCAGCATCATGAGAGTCAACCTGTGGATCCTAGTATTGAACAAAAAATGCTTCAGAGTACTATCGAGGCTTATAATATTAATGTTTGTGGCGTCCCATATTCATCTGCATCTGCTTCACAAGAACAAGACCCTCTTGTTGCAAGAATTATTCAGACCTGTCCATCTTCTGGTTTCGCTTATCCACAAGATCAAAGTCAAATGGCTGACGTGGCAGCCAATCACATGGAGTTCATAGATGCCATCATGTCGTCGTTGCCATTATCATCATCATCATCCTCGTCATCTTTGTCATCAAACAACCAAGTTGTCACAAATACCCCTAGTTTTCCTTCATGCTGGGAGCCATGAAGATGACTTTGAGAAACTAATATTGGTATATCATTGGGATTATGTTTGATTGAGTCTAATGTAGTTTTACTCATTGTAATTCTTATCTATATGCGGTAATCTCATATGATGTAGTTATTCATGATGAATACTATGTCATATGACTTTGTCTTGATCAGTCATCTTTTGTAGTGAACATATCAAAGTCATCACCTCATTAGACTCCTCCATAAGTAGTTCTTACTGATGTTCCGTAAATATGCATGTCTCATGGTTCTTCTTCTTCGGTATGTTTGTCGCCTAAAAGCATATCTCTTGAGCCATAATTTGTCTCTCCCGTAAAAGTACTACACACACACACCAATCATATATATCATAAATGTGTGGTCTATATCATATTACTTCTGGTCTTTAATATAAAAGCTAAATGACTAATTTAAGTAGATTAAAAAAATTAGTTATATTAGTTATTTGTAATAAATAGATATTGTCTTCTTTTTTTTTCCCCAACAGTTGTTATTCCTAAAATATCTTTGCTAATCAAGTATATTAGCTAGAATTACTATCATTACAATGACTACCTTGAAAAAAAAAACTAGATAAATATAAAAGACAAAATGGATCGAGATCTTATATTTATGACTAAAATAAAAGTCAAACGAGTTCTTATATTAAGGACTGGAGTAGTATATTAATATATTTCACCCCCCCCCCCCCTCTCGCGCATGTACCGGTCAACTTGAAGGCCCTGGAGGGCAAGGTGCCCTTAAAATCAAAAGCCGAAAGGTCAGTTGAAAATGGTTGTACTGGCTGTTTTGTCACATAGCATACTTTAATTATTTCAAAAGTTTATAGTACCAATATAGAACTTTCTTGCGATCGAAGGTTTGGTAAAGATTCCTCGGCATTGTTTGGTGGGATTACTATGAGCTTATGATTCAACAATAAAGGAACATTAAGTCCATGAAAACAACAATTGTATAAAGCTAACTATACATTGTTAACAGTCATCCGTAGTTTTTCCGTGTTCCCGTTTCAGATTAGTGTTACTTTTACCCGGTGAGATTTTATTATAGGTTGACCAAAAAAACAAGATTTTTTTTAATAAAATTAACATTAAAATAATGTCAAGATATGAAACTAGAAAATATGATTGTATCATCAAAGAATATGAACCTCAGAATAAAATTTACTTATGCATGCATTGACTTTCATAAAGAGTCCATCCTATCCTGTCTTGACATTTTGGTTTCATCCATCAAAGAGATAAAAATCTTTTGCTTATAAATTGGATCAACCTTTTTGAAAAAAGAACGTAAAACAAAGAGCCATTTCCAGCTCGTGAAAGAAGCAAAGGAAAAGATAATCGCCTTTTCCCCCACCAATTCCTTTTCCTTTCATTTATTTATTTATTTATTTTTAAAACAACCATCTGCTTTGATAATTACTTCAATCAATCAACGAGAAAGAAAAGTAAATCTTTCACTTACTCATATATAATCCATCCATTTAAAGGGAGACATTACGATTATCCTCTTTTGTCTTCTTGATCTTTTTCAATATGTTATAGATACACAGTCACTTTTAAAATTGCAGAAGATTGATTGTCTCTGAGGATCTATCAGAAGAAAGAAATTAAAGGGGAAATGGGAAGATGGAGTTAAGAGCCAGCGAGGTAGCCACCCGTAAGCTCAATAATGGAAGGGCCCAGAATTTGGGAGGTGGACTCTCTTTGTCTGAGACAATCTTCTTTGGCTTTTAAGCGACAAAGCTTCATCACTCAAAGCTGGCCCTTTCCCAGCACTCCAATCAGCTTCCACATTGAAGAATCTTCAAAAGTCCCTTTTGCTTTCTCATGGCCCATCTTCGTCTTCTTCACACACTTCTTTCTTCAGACAGGGTAGTGTTGCAGGCAAGCATCAAGGGGGAAAAAGACATGAGAAATTAGCACCACCTTTTCTCATTTGACTTTGTAACATGACAAGGCTCAAGGTTCAATCATATTATACACTGTGAGCTGCTATTTCTTTTTCGGATCTTTCACACACGATACATCTAGACTTGTGACTACACTTAAACAAGGATGTAACATTCATATCTTCTACTATCTCCAATACTTAATATAAGACTTAGGTATCTAATTTAAGGATATTAAAAAAATTAGTTGAGTAGATTATTTATAACAAATGGGTGTATGTATGCTTTTTTAAATTATCTCGTTTAATGATGTGCATTAGAATTATCTTTTGATAAAACCTTCTTACTATCTTCAGTTCTTAATATAAGAATTCGTTTGACTTTTATTTTGACCCTAAATATAAGATTCAAATCCACGTTGTCTCTTATATTTCCCCCCCCCAAAGTAGTCATTGTAAATCTAATGCATTTGATTAGTAAGGATATTTTAGAAAAAGTAACACCTATTATAACAAATAACTAACTTAACTAATTTTTTAATCTACTCAAAGTAATCAACTAACTTTTATATTAAGAAACGGAGGTAATACAATGTATAATCAATAACATGGAAAGGAAATTATAAATTTGAGAGATAAAGTGAATTGAAATACAAACTGGCTGGTTAAAGTGGAGGAAAGCTACCAGAGTTATTTGCGATAAGAAAGTACCTGAAAAACTTAAAGGAAAATTTTATCGGACTGCTATATGACCGGCTATGTTGTATGGTAGTGAATGTTGGGCAATAAAGGGAAAACAAGAGCACAAAGTTGTGGTAACAGAAATGAGAATGTTGAGATGGATGTATGGTCATACAAGAAAAGATAGGATTTGAAATGAAAATATCAGAGCAAGAGTCAGTGTGGCACCTATCCAAGAAAAAATGGTTGAAAATCGCTTAAGATGGTTTAGATATGTGCAGAGAAGGCCATTAGAGGCCCTGGTGAAGAGGGTGGATCAGACAAGATGGAGTCCCATAAAAAGAAACAGAGAAAGACCAAGAAGAACGCTTAATGAGGTCATTAAACGAGACCTCCTAATCAACAATATATCTAAGGACTGGGTTGTTGACCTAGCACGATGACATCGTGTGATTTATGTAGCCGACCCCACCTAGTGGGATAAGGCTTGTTGTTGTTGTTGTAAAGTGAATTGAAATATTATGTTTAGAACTAAATTTAATTCATAATTAGTTCTTATATTAAGCATAGTATTTTTTATTCAATCAATTATTTATGTTCCAAAAAAGGTTGTTACGATCCATAAATTTCACATATGAACCTCTATTTCAATTCATTTCATAACTAAAGGAATAGTGACGGCAGACGCCGCAAGAATCTTAAACTCTCCAATTTTAAAGAATTAGCTTTTAAATTAGCTATGATCCCGTCGAAGATCCCGTCGAAGAGATAAACTCGATTTCTCTTGAATAAAATCTAGAATTCAACTTTTTTTTTTTGGTCAGACAATTAAAAAATAACTTTGAATAAGTTATTTTCAATTAAGTTCAGCAATACTTAAATTTGATTTGATAACACTTTTTTTTTTTTAAATTTGAGCTGAAGATAATACTAGACATTAAATGATTTTATTTTTAAAAAATGCTTCGGAAATATAATTGCAAGAGTTCATAACAAGGTTACGACGTTTTTTGTTCCCTCAGATAAAAGTTTACTACAGTTGTATGTCAAGCCGCAAAGTAAGGCTCCATTAATTGGGGAACGAGGACTGAAGGTTTCCTTGTTCGTACAAAGCTCAAGGCCTCAACCTCGTAAACTTTAAGGAGATTCGTTGCCTTATCATATATGGAAGGCCGCATATATGACAATGTCGTCATATAATCTTGCGAGCATTGCCTCAAGACCCAGCTCACGAGACTGTCGAGCTTTGGCTTAATATTAATCTCATACTTCCAATACAGGACTCAGGTGCTGTTCTTTGCAATTTGGTTGAAATGGGACAAAATCAGGCATTTGTTGTGCCCACTAAACTTCAGACTAGTATTAGCAAAGCTAAAATGCATTAGCATTTGCAACTGACAAAAATCTCCACCATGCATATTGGATTATTAAGTGAATCTACAAAAACTCGATACACCATATATCCCTAAAATATTGCACAACAAACCGCAAGCATAATTCCACATTTAAGTCTCAAGGAGTGAATATTCAGCCCCAGATTCCATAATACTAAGCTGTAATCCTTGACCGTCCTTTTGCTATTCTTCTGGCAATGACTCTTCTGCCCCCCTTGGTTGCCTTCCTGCTCATTTGAAAGAAATATCATGTCATCTAAATAATCATAGTTTTCCCCCTTAAAGTAGCCAACATGAATATTGACATCCATGGTGCATAAAAATTTACAGCCTTGTCCTCCTCTACAACTAAACTAAGTGCATGATCAATGAGTAGGTGATCACCATTTTATCAAGGTGAGGAGGCAGCCCCATCCTCGGGCCATATGGCCCCTACTCAGTTTGCCAGGTATAGTCTGTAGTTTCATGCTCCATTTTCAGTCATAAAAAAGAGTTCAAAAATTATTTTACGCCTGCGCTATCAACTTATCAGTGTTACAGAGAGAGAAACCTAATGTAAAGCCGTAGGCACTAAAGTAAGTGGTACTCAATGTTACAATCCAAGCTCCAAACTATATCCCATACAGGCAGAGTTCAATAATTTTGTTCATGCAAAATTTTGCACACGCTAGATAAACTTCCATGTTACTCATACATGTCAAAGTGTGTAGTGCTGACATTATCAACAAGACTTCCACGGTTCTCTCATTTACACTCAGGTAGAAGAAGGGAGCATAAGAGTTCATCAGCCTTCTGTCCTCCTGTCATAGGATAAGTGGAGACATATATGTTTACAGATGAGATATTTACCGAGCAAAAAACCCATGATTCCTCTTTCGCCGGATAAGGCTAGGTTGGAATGTCCTTTTGGGGAATAAAAGCATTGGGTTCTCTGATGAAGCAGCATCCCCTGCTGAACAATGAAAACAATTTAATCAAGAAAGGAAAAGAAAACAGATTGATAGAGAAAAGCTGGACTGCATATCATATATAACAGTACATCATCTCATTCCATGTTGGCAGGTATATAGCGTCATAAATATCAATGGCAGCTAGCAGACAACATTTGGAAAAGGAAATACATGCAGTGCTCGGTCAATCACAACTGAATGGGAAAACAACTTGCACCAACCAGGGCTTAAAAGAGCATTTCTAGAATCAAGAAATTATTCCAAAAATCTGCATCATCAATTAATCAAATTCATGATAAATTAATCTGATACTTCTCTAAGTCAGCTGAGATCATATACATCCAGTTCAAATGACCCACCTTGTTCCCACGTTATTGCTTCTCATGCAAAAACTATGCAGGATATTTAACACATAAAAGTAGCGCAAGATATTAACAGGAAAGAAATGATTTCTCCCCATTTTTCTCCCTCAAGGAAAACGAAGGAAACTGATGGACTAGCTAGTGACGATTTGGAACGACTCTTTAAATCCATTAAAGTAACTAAAGCAAGGAAAGAATACCTTTTAAGTTAAGCAAAGCAATATATTTGTAATTAAGTCTATGTATATGGTACCAGCTATTGATCTGCAATCATCAAATTACATATTATTTCCTTATGCCTCTTCATTCAACTAGAACAATTAAAGCTTCCAGGCACATCAGTTTTAACTCTTGAGATAATTCTATTAAGAGGAATAGTATGAGCAGAAGTCTAAACAACTCTGACTCAAATAAGAAAGTCTCTTCGGATGATGCATTCTCATTTAGCACTTCAGAACTCTATTACGAATTCATTTTATAAAATTCACCCAAAAAAAGCACGTCATTATTCCCCTTTGTATATGAATCATGCAAAAACAAACTATGCTGGAAGCCAAAATTTTAGGAACAGGTTATGATTAGTGATATCCATAAGGAGATCCATTAAGTTTTTTTTTTTCTGTTTTTCTTTTTTTTTTTTGGGGGGGGAGGGGGGTTGGTGTGGTTGGGGGATCTTTCCTTGTCTCTGCTGCCTTGTACATGCAAACAACATAAACGAGATAACAAAGCAAGGAACAGAAGTGTACCGCTTCTTCAGTTGTTTTTGTCCAAGTGCAAAGAATTTAAATTATTTAATAGCTAACAGAAGAAAAATGCACGTCATTATTATAAACTCTGCATTCATACCAACGATTCAATAGGAAAAATTGGCACAGATCAATGAACTAAAAGCTCAAAATGAATTTTGTTAAATAAAATGCTCCTCCTAAGCGCCCTTGGCATTGTAATCAATGAGTAGTTAATCCATACAACTTAACGAATGAAAATTTAAAATTGAAAAGGTCAGTTGGATTTTCAAGGGAACTGTGATGATTGCTAATCTAAGCAAAGAAGTTAGAGGTGTCAACAAATCCTGTACTCCACTTGAGAACTACACATTTGATGCTGGACCTCAACTTTGTCAGAGAGAAGATATCAACAAGCTGGCAGAAGTGAGACATGTTGCTCAGAAATAAACTAAAAGCGGAAAGCTACAACGCTTTCTGTTCAAGAGGAGAGAATGGCAGTACATATCTCAATCAACTGAGTTCGGTTTGAGGGAGAATGTTACAGGAAGATGTCACATAGAAGTTAGAGAAGTTAACATTGTCAAGACAGTCATTCAAAGCTATGTGTGCAGCTGTGCTATCTTAGAATCCATTCATTAGTAATACAGACTTCACTGAGTTTTTCTCCATCCTATCTTTCTCTCTGATTTTCACAGAAACGAATTTCGCTGCCCTTTGCTTTCTTTCTGTCTCACATTACCCACCTTCATTTCACATTTATTTGTAGCAAAACTAACCTGTAGTTATAACAGCACAATCAAGGAAAAAGTTTCACGCCCTTGAATATTGAAGACTACAAATATACCCCTCGCCAAACCATAAAGAAGTTGAACCAGAAAAACAAATTCATCAGAAAATTGTTTCATGACAACCACCAAATTGTTGGATAGAACAAAGGCATTAGCGGAACAAATTGGCAAGACCATAACAAAAGCACTCCATACACCACTTCATCTACATTTTCACAGTAAAAACGCATAAAATTGAATTGAATGAAAAAATAAAAGAGAAAAGGCACGACCTTTTGCATGTTATTCAACGTTCACTATTCCCAACGAGTAAATATAACTAATAGCGTCAAAGAAAGAAAGCATACCATCAGGTAAGAAGAATCGGAGAGAGGGAAGGCCACAAGGGTACAGAAACCTTTCAGGGGCGAACTTTTTCAGCGAATCGGCCTCATTTTGTGGAAGGTGTACAGAAGTAGGGAGCTTGGAGACGGAAGGGAATAGCTTGGGAGCAATTTCAAGGGCAGGTGAAACAGTTTGGGGATTCGAATGCAAACTTCGGTGAAGCAATGAGTTTGAAAGCCGCTTCAACAAAGTAGTTCCATTTTGACAAAGGGCTTTCGATGCCATCTTTCCGACTGAAATTCCTGGGTTTTCCCCTGAACCCTAGGGAACCAGAGCACAATGTAGAGGAAGAGCTTCGCGCCGGGTCCCACTTTTTTTTCGTAGCACTTTTTTTTCCCCCTAAATTAAATGTTATCTTTGATTATTATAACCAAAAAACAAATGTTAACCTCGACTGTTTGATTCTAAGCTACTTATCATCATTTTTTTTTTCAAATTTAGTTCCTTTAGAACATACCTAAAAGAAAAAAATTGAGGTAAAGTTGTTTATATTTGTTATGTTAAGTTCTCCAATCATATATAGTTATTATTTCCTTTTTATTTCATATAGATTTATAATTAAATGCTATTAAATACTTCTCTGGTCATTAATGTAAAACATATTTAACTACTTTGATTAAATTAAGAAAGCTGAATAAGTTAGTTAATTATAAAAAATATGATATATTTTTTAAAATATAATAATCATCTTTCTTAATATCTTCCCTCTATTTTTTTACTTAATCATGATTGAGAAAATATTAATAGGAGTAATAATATTTCAAAAATAGAATACATGTTTATATATGATTCAAAACTTAACACAATGAATATAAGTAATTTGATATAAGTATTATCATACTTAAATCAAAGGCACATAAAACGACATGTCCAAAATTACTGATTTTTATGCAACAAATACTGAAAACCTTTTTGACAAATTGATAGTCTAAATGCAACACCACTAGCTTTCCTATCATTTATTTTTACCAAAATTACCTTATATTTATCTTCATTATTTATTTTCAAATACACGAATGATTTTTTATCCTACGTGCTGCACGGCCTTCTTGTTTGATGTTTGGTCCAATGGGGTTGAGTTCTCTAAATTAGACTCTGATCAGATTTTACTCCTCATAGGCACATTACACACAAGTTTACATTTCCTATGCGTCAAAAATACATATTTCAATAAAACGTATTTAACATTTTAATCTTATTTTCTAAGTTCGTCTAGCCTTCTGATCTTTTAATAATACATCTAGCACCTTGATCATATTTTTTTGGTATATCCAGCACCTCAATAATATTTTTTCAGTAACATTTAACATCTGAATTTTTAGGATGCTTAATACACTGAAAATAATATCATAATACTAAATACACCAGAAAAATAAAATCAAGATTCTGAATATAACGTAAAAAACAAAAATTAGAATACTAGATACACCTAAAAATAACATTAGATCAGAAGACTAAATACTCCGAAAAAAAATAACATTAGATCAACCCGAGCTTAACTATATTCAAACAGATAATTATATTGAAAATTACAACGGCACCAATGTTGCCAGTAACAACCTTTTTTTTTTTTTTGGGTGGTAACAAGCTAGTTATAACTTACAAGAAGACGAAATGGCATTTTCAAAATATGCCTTACAGATTACAAGAAGCAATGGCTTCTTGTAAGAAACAACAGAGACCAAGGAAACAGAAACAATGAAGATGGGAAAAAAATTATACACGAAAAATAGTTGTGCAGCTCGAAAATCAACTACTGAATTGGTGTGACTATTCCTTCCTCCTTCCATCTTTGACTAAAAAAAAATGATGAAAACAAGAATAAAGAAAGAATTATCATAACTCAAATGTACAGGACTTCTCAGCTTTTCATTGTTCACTTGGAACCACAGTAGAAATCCAATCAGAAGCTGCCGTTCGGATATCAGATTCAGTATGAGGAGAAAGTGAAAGTGGGGTTACTGCAACCTGTTCCACCAAGTCGGATGCGATAATCAGAGTAAATATATTAATATCAAAGAGAAAATATAGTTCTTTTTCGGTTGGTCATCATACTTTTAAGACAAGACATCCATATGTCCATTGTCTCTAAAACATAAGTTGCACCGTTCATAACTTGTACATATCATTGACTTGCTATAAGATTTTATGTTCCATATATGTTGATAAATGATTCTGTTAAAGAAGCATTACATAATTGAGTTTTTCCCAAAAAAGTTCGCCAACATGTTTTGTTCTTTTATCGGAAAATCTGTCGGCAAATGTCTAATGAACTTTAGATATGCAGTCCAATACAACATCAAAACGTTAGTTAAGAATATAATCTGAAATAATTTTCATTTTAGAATTTAGATCAACAATTCCATATAGTCCAATGCTAACACTTACAAATCCGCTTTCAAGAGCTCTATAATCCAGATCATCTTCTAGATCTTCCTGCTGCTTTTCTGAAAACTGCAGATACAAGTAGTGTAAGAGCAAGCTCACTTCTACAAACAACTTAATTAATTTGCCATTAAAAAATGTATTAAAGTGAAAAACTACCTGAATCGCATGTAAAGTGAAGATTAAAATTTAAAAGACCATACTTCAAATGAATCTTTCAAAGATTTCAGTTATCAAAGAAAACAATTATATATCCATGGAATAACCTCCTCTTACTAATTGATACTTTTCATATTCAGCACAGAAACACAGATCAATGTCACAATAAAAGGATTAATAAGGGATTTTGGTTTTTTCTTCCTTCCTATTTACCTCTAATCTGAAATATTTCTTCACTCTGCTGAAATCAGGCTTTCCCACAGCTCCAACTGATTCAACCACCTCCAAATTCTTTTTCTGCGTTGTCAATCTACGAGCTGCACCCTGAAGTAACCAAGATAAGAGAGATTCTGATATTAGCATCAACAGATGCACTGCGATCCCCCAACATAATTACAACATACACAATAATAAGTAGGATACTCACAGCAGCAGAGGCGTCTCGGCCAAGCTGCGCAAGCTGAAGGCCAAGGCCTTGCTGATTAGCCATGAGATGACCAGGAGGGTGGCGACTACTTGAAACAGCTTGCCAGTTTAGAGTGGATCTCCACATACTTTGCTTAGTCAATTTGAAACCCTGCCAATCAAGCAATTAACACAAATCCATGCAAGACCATGAAATTTAGAGTGAATTGAATCTAAGAACAAAAGATAGATAGCTAAAGTAGAATAAGCGGAACATGGGTTTACAATATTACTCCATTAAAAATATGGAAAACAAGAAAGAGAAACCATGACCTTTTGAATTAAAAACAGGATGAATTAAGATATTATGTTCAAGCTGTATAGCTCAAGATGAGATTTAGCAAGGAATTTGCCAGATCAATGCATCAAGATTGAACATAAGCATACAGTGTCAATAATAGCCCTTGAAACAGTTACGTAGAGAATTTCTCAAAAGAGGATCAAATTTGATAAATCTGAAGTCAAAATGAACAGCTAAGGCAGAGCTACTAGTGGCATGATTAAAACTGAAGGGAAGTGTATCATCACCACATAGCATCAGCATATCGATGCCTACCAATTTACTACTCCAAAAGAAGCAAATTTCCTAGAATTTTATCCATGAGTGCTAAGGGTTTTGTACAAACATATGGCCTAAAACCAAGAGTAAGAAATTTTCACAATAAAATTAGCAGACCTTGTTACCCAGAGGAGATGTCGGAATTTCTATATTCAAAAAGCAGCTTTTAGGGAAAGTTCCCTTTTCAATATCCCTTATAGCTGCATTTATTACTGGTAAACAGACTGCCACTGCGTCCTTGAAATCTGTTTCTTGACTTTCACCCTTCTTCCTGCAACAGGATATGATACCTTGTGTAATCTCTGATATGAAATTGCAGTCCAGACAACATATATCCTAGGAATAAAAAAAAAAAAATCTTAAACACACCAATTCAATGATATTGACAGTGATGGTACACCACAAAGTAATGCCTCTCTAGCTCCGGCAACAACACCTGAGTAGAACCTGGATTATTTAAAGCATAACATAAACTTAGGTCACCACCTTAGAGCTAAAGTCCATAAGGATACACACACACTCACATATTATCTGTCAAGTATCCAACAAGATAAACTTACATGTGATGACCACAGCTTGAACCCCTATTAATTCCACTAACAACCTGAAATTTATATTAAATCAACAACCTTGTTTATGACAATAAGTGTGTGCATTATATCATCATACGTAGAAATAGAGGCTAACCAGCATAGGCTTTGACCATGAAAATAACGCCCCTGATAAAGCTAATGAAACACAATCCACAGGAGTTCCTGATTATGAAATATAAAAGAATATAAACAATCTGCAACTAGAATGATAAACCTGCACACAAAGATTATAGCCATTTGAAAAGAAAAAATAATATAAAAACAACCATCTTTCAATTAAAAAATAAAAAATGAAAACACCTATATGTATTGATGTCAAATTATTGGTATCGCCATTACAAATATATAAGTTATAATTCTTCCATCCAAAGATTCAGGCCAGTGAATCCAATTCATTTAAGCTTCGATTTCACATCATATTGTAATAATGATATGCGCGAAGGCTAGTCAGCACAGAGAGATAATATGCTGCAAACGATCAAATAAGTCATATTCGTTAACAAATTCAAACCTTGACAGAATAGAATCCAATCACAAAAACCCTGTATGTATTTTGAATAACGAATACCATGGTAGAAGAGCACTAAAAGAACTAAAAATAAATAAATACAAGTCATACCTGAAATCTCAAACGCAATGGCACCATCAATTTGAGCAGAACTCGCTTCCACCGTTTCTCTGAGCGTTACAGAGTGCCCCGCAGCTGATTTGTCCCTAAAACCACCATTTAGACGTTATCAATTTACAAAGATAACCCGGATTCGGTGACAAACAAGAGATGGGTGTGGAAGATTTCCAGAATTGAATGGATGACGAGATATTCAAAATACATTTAAAACACAATAACAAAAAGGAATATAAGAGAGAACCCATAATCCAAAGAATGGAGATGTGTGTGAAGAGAAACAGAATGTCAATCGAGCAAATAATCTTATAAATTCCAAGCAGGCAAATAAGAAAATCAAAGCAGATAAATGACGCATTAGATTGACAAATAAATCAAGATTAGAGTGAGGGAACGAAACCCACGATTGAGGAACGCAGATATGAACATTGTAGAGGCCTTCGCGAACAAGAGCTTCAATCAGGTAAGTAAGGCCGGGGGACTCAATTCCTTCGCTATTGGTGACCAGGACAATAGGCTTCGAACTATCATTGAGCTCCTCGGAATCAGCCCCGGAAGTAGAAGACGGTTCGGCAGTTTCAGCACCGTTCTCCGATTGGTCGCCTTGTTCGGCTACTTTCCTGCTGAGCAGGGCCTGTTGAAGATTGGAGACGAGACCTGGGGGCATCATTTTGTTTTTGACAGAAGTAGACGTCATGAAGAATGAGAGATTCTTCGAAACAGGAGACGAATGATGAGAGAAAGAGAGGGAATTTTAGGAATAAGGAAGATTCAAAACCCTAGGGAGAGAAGAAAGAGCAGAAAAAGGAGGGCAATAAAGCGCTGAAAATGAATGAAAAGGGTAGGGACTGCTTAAAGAAATGGATAGATAGACCGGTTCTAACGGCGTTATGTGGAAAGAGAAAAGAAAAGACATCGAAGACAAAGAAAGCTTCAAAGCGCCAAACAGAGAGAGGGAGATTACTTGTGAAAATGGGATCTTTACTCTTTTCGGGAACAAGAGGAAGGAAGAACAGTAATCGGTAATTCAACGAACGAAACGCGTCAAAGAAATGGTTTCTTCTTTCGTTTTTAGTGGTTGCAGTTACAGTTCACTCTTCCACTTGTCAAAATATGATTTGTCAAAAAAAGTAAAATATAAAAAGTGGGGAAAACCTTTGTCTGATTGAAAAATATAATTACCAAAAAAATTCTTTTAATGATGATTTTCTGCAAAAAAAAAAAAAACAAGTTTATACTACTTCTTTATTATTCGAAAATTTTAGTTGTTATATTTTTTGTTTTAGTTTGATAATATTTTTCTTAAAAAGTACTACCGCCGGTCCTATTTATAAAACCTCGTTTATAGTCTGTAAATGAAATCTTATAATTAGGATCCGAGGTAGTATTACATTTTTTATAATAAATATTTAATATTCAATTAACAATTAGTATCTGTCATATTTTTCTTTTTTTTTTGTACGAAAGAATTTAAAAAAATGTCTTTATCTTTGAGATTAGCATATTCTTCTTACTCCTGCTCGTTAATCAATCATGCTATTTTATTCACAAACATGCAGAAAAAAATTAAAAATTAAAAAAAATACATGCTCACGTATTTAATACTCAACCATACCCCCATACATTGCACTAGGCTTTTGAGTTATTCCTCTGGTCTTAAACATAAGACCCTTATACTCACTAGTATAATCTTTTCTATCCCATCCAAAAATTTTGGTAATGTGTGTCTCCAATTGTGATTGTGTTTGTGTGTAAATATTGTGAAATGTGAACGATGCTGTGTTGTGTACGATACATGAGGAGTTAGTAATGTTATATAAATGTAGTCACGTGATTGTAAATGCGTTTGTCTGGGACACATGTAGTGTTAGCGTGATGTTGTGAAATAACATTGTGGAGCACAATGAAATTTCACTAGCCGTGTTGTGAAGTTTTGTGCAACTCTATGCCATGTATGTATAAAATATTGTGAAGTATGGATGGTGTGCATATATTCGTCATATATATTTTTCAGATGAAGCTTTTTTTCTTGCCACCAATTTTTAAAGAAAGTTGAAAGTTATTAATAGGGTTGCATCTAGTGGAAGAAAATAATTTTTTATAATGTGATGAATCAAAATTCGAATTTCACTTTAAAAAAATGCTTATATTTAGCACATGATAATATTTTGAGCAGGTCTATAATGAGAGTGTATTTGTACTTAATTAAAAAAAAGAGCAAAAATTAGTGAACGATCTGTAAGTATCTCTTTAAACGTTCTTTAAGTCAAGAGGCATGTTTTGGTCCTGATGAGTCTCTGGAATTCAACTTAACTAAACATTTTTATTACCCAAAAAAAAAGGCAAAAGTTTGAACATTAATGATTAAAAAAGGTTATATTGAGAACCTACTCCTAATTATAATTAAAAAATATTTAAATGTATCATTTGTGATAAAGAAAAATGTTCCTTTGATCTGTTAACTTTATAGAACATTTCAATTTGACCTCTTAATTTCCTAAAACATATTTTTTACCCTCTAATCTTAACATTGTTAGGCTTTTATTTTATGAGTTAACCTCTCATTGGTTTTAAATGATTATCTTTTGTGTCAATCTTTATTATTTTGATAAATTAAATTTAATATAGCAGAAACTTTGTTATCATTTACGATTCATTATTAACATTTTTTTTACTAAACTAAGTGTCCGAGTTAAAGAGTTAAAAACGTACCATATAAAATTAAGAGATTAAAAAAAACGAAATTGAAAGACTAAACATACACTCTTATTTGTATAAGATATATATGGATAAAAAATTATTATGTGTAAAATGAGTAGTGACATTATGGACTCTGAGCCATGTCTCTTAAAATAAGACAGCTGCTTTTGCGGCCATTGATTACAATTCGAGAATATATATAAATATGGATAATGACATGAATGATGCTTTATTGCTGAATATTAATGATGACTGGGATATATATTATGAGTTATTAATTTCATTAATTTCAATTAATTATCAACCAGACGGCACATGTTAAGTAGAGTCAACTTCTCTCCTTTGTGGAGGAGTCATTAAGGATCTGACAAATAACTAAGTGTGTGGTTTTAGTTGCAAACTCATCAGTGTGCCCCTTATGATCGCAAAAGTACTTGGTATCATCCATGGGCTCAACCTTTGCTGGAACAGGAATCTTCGAAAAGTTGTTCTATTATTAGACAATTTGGAGGCTATCAACCTTGTCGTGAGAGGTTGCAACGGTCATCATCCCTTTAAAGAAGTTATTGAGCATGCGAGATTCATGCTAAACAAGAATTGGCAGGTCACCTTTCAGCATGCGTATTGGGATGAGAATTGGATGGCTGACTATTTAGCGAAATGTTCACATAACCTTGTTAACTCCTTTTGGATCATTGATCACCCTCCTCCTATTCATCAAGAGCCGGAAAGTGATGCAGGAGCTTAATTTTTGTTTCGTTCTCTTGTTTAGGCTTTTGTAGAGACTTTTCTTTATATCCTGTTGTAATTCCAAAAAAAAAAAAAAAAACTCCTCTCTTTTGTGTTTTGGAGTCAGATCTTCACCCTTCCCCAAAGAGGTTTTGCAGAGAGGTCAAGCTTTATGTTAAAGCTTTCTTTGGTTAGGGAAAGAGCGTAGTAAGAAAAGCCCAATAGCATTGGGAGACAATTGCCAACAAAAAAAATCTCATGGAGGACGGTTGGGGTTCAAGGAGTTATTATCTGAGAACAAAATCTGCTTTATGCAAATTATTACTTGATTCTTCATCAGAATCAGATTCTCCTGGCTCAAGCTTGGTGTTAGTTGGTGAAAGAATGTCAATTGAGAAAACGTTCAATATGACAAGTAACATCATTCTTGTTGAATCTGTTGGAAATTAGAGATGAATTTGCTTCTCCTGTCTCTAATGATGTATGTTATTGCAAATATTGTTGAGATTTTAGACGGGCCGTTCTTCTCCCAGCAAGATTTTTAACGTTTTGGATTTAGGAAAGAATCAGATAAATCTTTAATTAAGCCGGACAAGACTCATTTTATTTAGGTACTCCTCTTGTCCTATTTATACGACAGAGAGAAGATATTTTTTTACTTTTATTTACAAGGCAGTGAGAGAAATTTTTTGTATGGATATATAATTTTATCTTTTCTTTATTATTGTGTTGATTTTGTTTATATAAGGTATAATATATATTAAATAAAAATAAAGTTAGAAAGTTGTTAAATTTTAAATAAGAGTTAATAAAGTTTAAAATTTTTTTTTAATTTATGTAAAATATGTTGAAAACAATTTATAAATAGGATGTTACCGACAGTTAAAAAATCAGATGAATTATCCCTTGCAATTCTGTGTTATTAACGGGGGAAAAATGATTGCATCCTCCGTTAAGAGGTAAAAAATAAAGTTCCTTTCTTGCGCCATCGTTGCGAATGTCATCCCAATCCGCTCTGCTTCACCCTCCGCTTCCGCTCGGCCTCATCTGGCATCTCGTCTTCACTTTCATCATCGACCACGGCGTTATGTTGTGATTTGTGAACTTGTTTCTCAGTTTCAGGTTCTGTTCTCTCTCTTTTCGGACTAGGATTATATTGATATTTTTACTTCTCTGTCTATAGCGATCTTCCTTAGATAATTTTCCAGTTAAATGTATTATCTCTGGTTGTATTTAATTAATGTTTCCTTGCCTCCCTTGACCTTAGTTTCCTGGTAGCCATTAGGGTCGACAAAATTTGTCGGGGACGTGACTGAACGTAAGATATGATGACTATTTGTGAGTTAAGGGAGGCATCAAACTACTTTTCTTGAAAAATTAACCAGCTTTAATGCGTAATCAACACTCAAGATAACCTAAGAGGATTAGATGTGGGGTTCTTTGCATTTTCAGAGTAATACCCATTGGATGTGCAATTTAACTATGTGATGGCTTCTGATTTAGACTTTTAGAGACATGTAGGAACTTTCATCCTATGTTTGGGTTTATTTACCTTTTGAAAGGGAAGCACCTAAGTGACCACAATCTGCTATATGCAAGTCTTCCTCTCCGTGTCCTAAAGAGGGGATAGAAATCTAAGGTTCTCTTTGAAGATTGTCTCCTTCCTTTCTTTTGTGATTATCCATGTCATTAGCACAAAATTAACTGGGTAATTTTGATAGCCGATGTTTTCATATATTTAAGTACTTGATTTTTAAGCATTTGAAAAATCCTAACTTGGCTACTGTAATCACATTTTTCTCAGCTAAAAGCTATCACTCAACTCTAGAAAAATTATTTTGCAAGTGACAGTTTATCTTTGCTTAAGGGAGAATTAATAGCAATCACATGAATATTTTGCTTCAGAATCACAAAGTGGGGCTAATTCTAGCACTTGCTTACTTCGATTCCCGTATCTTGGGCAGTTCCCGCAGATGGAGTTCAATGAAGATCCCGGGCCAATCGATAAATCTGTACTTTATGATCAAGATAATCATGTTTCTTCAGCAGTTTGGGACGGTCAGGTGAGTGAGTTTCTTGTTGCTACTGCTATAGATTTGTCAATATGCACATCATTTTATGCCTTCTTATGCATACCAAATCCTCAATTGCATATTCAGATCATGATTTTATTAGATGTGCGGAGGGATTGGGCAGCTTTGTTACATGATTAAGTTTCTTTCCTAATTATAGTTTAGGTCCCAGTATTTTATCTTATGAAGATAACTTGTCATTTTCTTATTTACTTCCCTTCCTTCCTGATAACATTTTCTCTTGTATAAATTTTTTTTTTTTCTTTAAAAAGCACAGGAGCGTGGTGTTCTTAGATGTCATGAACACACTTCAATGCTTGATCAGTGGAAGCTCAAGGCTAAACAGATTGAGTTGGTTGAGAAGGCTGGTTTTGGTTACCTAAGATTGCTTCCTGCTATGAGTCTTGACAATGCACTGATAGCAGCTTTGGTAGAGCGGTGGAGAAGAGAAACAAATACCTTTCACTTGACTGTTGGAGAAATGACAATAACCCTTGAAGATGTAGCACTGTTACTTGGATTAGCAATTGATGGAGATCCGGTCATAGGTCCAATCAGTACACCAAGTTCAGTTTGTGAAAAATTGCTTGGGAGAGTACCGGAGGATCTGAATGGTGGAATGGTGAAGCTTACTTGGCTGAAGGAATTCTTTTCTGAGTGTCCTGAAGATGCACCAGCAGAAGAGATTGAGTGTTGCACTCGTGCCTACCTTCTATACCTAGTGGGAAGTACGATATTTTCCACAACAACTGGGAACAAAGTACCTGTAATGTACCTTTCTTTGTTTGAGGATTTTGACAAGGCTGGGAAGTTTGCTTGGGGTGCTGCAGCATTGGCATTTTTATATAGAGCCCTTGGCAATGCGTCCCTTAAATCTCAAAGTACCATTAGCGGCTGTTTAACTCTAGTACAGGTCATGAACACAAACCTTTAGCTCTTGCTTTATTTGTTATAGATATTTGTTCTGCTAATGATTTTCATTCAAAATGCTGATAAAGTAGTGCTGTTTTCAGTGTTGGAGTTATTCTCGCCTCAATGTTGGTCAACCAAAGTTTAATCAAGAACCAGAGAGTAATTGCTTCCCCTTTGTACTTAGATGGAAAGGGAAAAGTGGTTCAAGAGCTAAATGTAATGTCGTAACCTACAGGAAGGCTTTGGATTCTCTTGACCCTTGCAATGTAAGTCTTAATCATAGTGGCGTTAATATTTTAATGATGAAGAAGATACTGTATCTGCTTTAGTGTTTATATCCAGGTCCAGTGGCTTCCTTATAGGGATATGGACTGTACAACTATACTAGAAGATATAAGAGCCAGTCTAATGTTACGTGCATCTAGAACAATGTTATTATGTTTTGACAAGGCAGAAAGGCACCTTCCAGATCGCTGCTTAAGGCAATTTGGGATGCGTCAAACAATTCCACAGGAAGTGCAACGGTGGGAGAGGAAGAGTCGTATAGTGGACCACGGGGTGGACTTGCTGGGGAGAATGGATCTGCCACTCAAAGAATGGTCAGAGCGTTGGCTTTATATTGTGGAAAGTGATGACACTGTCAGTGAGGATGAGTACATGCAGTGGTACCAGAAGATTACTCGAAGATATATTGGAAGGGTTACATCATCTCTGGAGTCAGAGTATCAGAGAACTGTAAGTCTCTGCTAAACCATCGATATTCCTTTGTCTATTGAATTTGGCTTTAAAACGTGCATCGAATCAATTCAACTGCTTCTTGTTTTGGGTTTTCTGTCGGATAATGAAGCAAATAGACCAACCGAGTATCGCATGTTAATTCATAATTTAACCCCTCTCTCTCTCTCAATCACACACACTGACACACTCTCACTCACGTGTTTTTTTTTTTTTTGCCTCCTTAAATCAAATGATGAATTACATAATTGAAGGGGAAAATTGCCCATGAGTCCTAACGTAATAAAATTAAATACTAATAGGTCCCAAAAATTCGATTTTTTACAAGTTTGACTTGTAAATAAGCAAGTTCAACTTGTAAATGTGGAAATTTGATTTGTAAATAGAAATTTTAAATCTGACTTGTAAATGACAAAATTTGACTTGTAAATATGTAGGTTTGACTTGTCAATGTGAAATTTTTGGGACCTATTTGTATTTTTCTTACTTGGAACCTATAAGTAATTTTCCCCTATTGAAAAGTTACAGGTTTGAGCTTATCAGCTAAGAGCTGTTTGATATTAACTTTTAAGAGTAAGCATTAGTTAACAAGTAATTACTTAATTGATCCCTGATTAAGATAAAGAGATCTGGACTGCCAAATACGGGTGGGCTGAAATTATTGTTTTAGTTCCACTGGTTGCTTCAATTTGCTTTGCATCTTGTAAATGACTGCACTGAACTGATGAAATCCCTCCTAGTTTTGTGTATACCTCACTACTGCGTACTACTTTTCAGGTTACTGCAATGAGGGAAATTGCAAACATAGCAGATATAGTGTCCGCAGGAGGATTGGATCCTTATAATAGAGAGTTGCTTGATGAGGTTAGGAACATTGTAAATAAATGTTTAGCAGAGCAGTTTGAAGATTTGCCAAATGACAAACTGAGAAAGAAGGGAAGTCGGAAACGTAGGCAAAAAGATTGCCTAACTACAGAGTATGAATAATATGGTACCAGACTACAGAGTATAATATGAGGTTGGTCAAGGATGCAAGACACATACCTAAACACCATTAGGAACATAATCCTGTAGAAGAGAATGAGATTTATTCAGAATTATGAAAATTTCTGACATTTGAATGCTGATAGAATCTTGTTGGCATGTAACGATTGTAAATCTCCATTGGTCATTTTGTTGTATCCAATTTATGGTAATGTTAAGGTGCTAAAATTGAGCAATTTTATATTTTGCTTGCAACTTGGGATGTGGAATGTCTCATTCAACCAAAACATTAGTCGAAATTTTTGTTTTAGATGAAAATGCAGTTATGTTAAGCTACTATTAATATTTGGAAGCAAAGACGGCAAGATAGTAGCTGTATCAGTGATTTTTCCTGTAAAGGAATTTCTTTTTCTCTCTAATCTGTATCAGTGTATACCCAGTCGCGTTGGATCATCTCCTTTCATCTCAAAGTCCCGCATCAGGGTGAGAACTCACATCCTCCTCATGCGCGGGCCTAATCAATCTCGATTTGCCGTTTTCTAGCGCCTTCATACGCCATTTTCAGACCAAGAACAATAGCCCAGAGTTCCGCCGTGAGATGGTCCGCCACAGGTTCATGCATGAAACCTGATAGGAAAGTTCCAGCATTGGCCCTAAAATAAACCACCACATCCTATGCCAGAGCGTTGGGAGAAGGCTCCGTCCATGTTAATGTTCAGCCATTCTGATTCTGGGGGATTCCATCGGTCCTCTTTACAGAAGACGGCACTGCCAATAAACAGCTGTTTAAGAAAATCGGTACGTAAACTGGTAAACATATTTATTAAATTAAGTATACTTGGAGAGTAAATGCTTGGATTGATAACAAAGGGATGAAAATATGTTTGATGCTCATCTCTGTATGAAAATGTGTATGAGGCTCATTTCCAATAAAGAATTGTTTAAGAAAATATGTACATAAAATATTCTTGAAATTAAGTATGACATATTCATGAAATTAAGTATAGCGGAGTGTAAATGCTTGGATTGCTAAAAAGAGATGTTTTTCATCATGGCATATGCATTATTCCCTCCCTAATTTTGGCTTCCATGCCTAATCCAAAATTCTTTGTTTCAGAATTTTAGGTTCAAACAATGTTACAAGTTCTACTATATACTCCTTTAGTCCTAAATATAAGATTCTTATATACACTACCAAAAAAGTCTCATATCTAGGACCGGAGGAGTACTATAGTTGATAGTGAGCAGAAACGAACAGCGCAACAATAAGAACTAGTAAGGGTTATATGATGGAAGAAGCTTTAAACAACGTCCTTACTTGATGTATATTCACAATTTTCGTGGATTAAAAATAGAATAAATGAGGGGAAGAAGCCAAAGAAATGAAATATGGAGGGAAAAGAAACTGCAGCATTTACCTTCAATTGGGAATTAAAATTTGAGCAGCCTTGAAGGACAAGGACTAGAATAGTTGAGTCATCTTCATCTTAGGCATTGATGGCAAGTTCTTTTGCTAAAGTTTGAGTTTAGGGTGACACATCAAAGCTTCCCTATCTTACACCAATTAATACAGAGATTATTAACAAATGAAGTAGAATCAAATATAATCATGTCAGAGACAAAGTTATCTGAAAAAGAGGCTTGACGTGCTTTCTCCATAGTTGGACTGCCTACGAAGCCAATATTATATAATATGCAAGTTAAGCAGGTGAAATACATAATATATGGCATCTATATTTCTTTTCATTCTGAATTTTATTCTGTACAAGGTTTGTCTATAATTCCAAAATGCGCATGATTGCAATTCAGATTTATTTGAATTCATTAACACAGCGAAGAGCAGAACAAAAATTCAAATGAACCATGGAAATTGACTAGCTATGAAGAAAACCAAAATACTTACTATTACACAAGTAATGATACGTTTATATCCAGAGTGATATAACTCAAGTTTTTGGAAAAGAACAAATTAAAAGACAATCAGAGCCTACTTTTAAGAAAAAGGAGACAATAAAATCACATATATCAATATGTAACTTTTATATGTCTTTAAGGGATAGTAATGAAGGCTGTGGAAAATGTAGAGGCTGATTGGTGCTATCACATTCAATTCAAACCATCACTAGGTTTAACTACAGAGCTCAACGCATACAAGTCATATCACAGACTATACAATGTTAGTGTCTACATGTATAGGCAATATTTACCACCACACGAGCCATAGCACAAAACTTCTTTATAAGAAAACAAAATCTGGAGAGCAGGGAACGAAGGATGTTGATGAAATTAAAAATCAATTAATCCACTATCTCTTCAACTTTTGATTGCGCATGCACAATGGATAGAAAATAGTAGTTGCATGTGTGCTAGCTTAGTTTGGAGATTTCTCTGACGTTTATTCATTATTTTAATGTACACTCAACATTAGACTTAAAGCCTAGTCACATTGAGAATAAAGAATTCTTTTCACTCGTAGTTGGAGGTTCTCCTATATCTTTGGCTATTACAACCGATTAAATTGAGATTCTACTACTTAATCCATCCTACAAATGATTGGAGATCTGCGCTGGGGAAATATCTGATTTAGATTAAGAAAGAAATTAAATGATATCAATGGGATTAGATATATTATTGGAAAGTATTCACCCTATTAAACATAATGAGTAAATATTCAATAAAAGAGGAGGCGCATTTGGATGAAATAATGGTATGACAAGGAAATTACCCATGAAAAATTGGTCGGAACTGCATTTCTATCAACTCTCAAGCATTTCTTGTGTTACCTCTGGATCTGTGGGCTCATTTCGGCTGCTCTTGGTTCTCAGGAAGCTGGGCATCCACCTCAAGTTCCAGAATCTTTGAATAATGTTGAATGATTCTGGCATCTCTGGTTCTGTACCCTTCTCCAGCTTTAATCCCATTTGTTGAGCTATCGCTTGTAGTTCTGATGCATATACTGGCCAAATTCCGCATCCTTTTATCAAGTGATCATATCGGACCACACGAGAATGAAAGTAATTTCCTATGAAGAATTCACAAGTAAACTTATAAGTGGTGCCCTCATCAAATGGCCGTCTTTGGGTTTCCTTTAATATGCGTTCCATTGGATCATACCATACAAAAACATTATCTGTATTTAACTTATAGATACGAGGGAATACCTTCTCATCCTTGTAATTGATCTCGTCATCTTCACAGTGGAATTTTCTGCAAACGATTGCTAAGATATCCCTGAGGTCCAACGGAGAAAGAATACAACAAGAAACAATACCTAACAAATGATCAGAAGAAGCTGGTGCAAGCTCAATAGTAATGGCCCTCTCCGTGGTCAGAGAATATTTGATGCCCCTTGGAATTGTGCTTCCTGGGTAACAAGCTTTAACCTCACAAGAGTAATTGTTATATATTGCTCGCATCAGTGTGAAATGAATAAATTCTGGCACATCACATCTATCCAGTCCCCATGAACTCTTCTCTTTATTGTGCTCAAAGATTGTACCCTTGAAATCGATGGTCTCCAGTGATGTGCATTCGTCTACATAAAAATGAGTAATGGAAGGTGGAAGTTCTGGTAAGGACCTAAGCCTCCAGCATTCACCCAAATCAATGTCTTTCAGCTCTGGAAGGTACTTGATGCTATTGGGAAAACTCTTTATGGTGCATCCTCGTAGTGATAAAATTTTCAACAATGACAGCCCACTGATATTGTCAGGGATCTCGGAAACCGTACAGTCTTTCAAACTCAATTGTTCTAAAGAACGCCAGGCGTCAAACAGAATGAGTAATTGTGATTTGTCAATTCCTTCTTCAATGTCAATAAGAGAGAATATTCTAAGAGATGTCAAGCTGCGTAGCTCATTTATTTGAAAGCTCCTGAGAGGCAAACCGAGATATAGCTCTTCAAGTTTATTGAACCGTCCAACTGGCAAGTTCAAGGTTTCGATACCAGTACCAACTAAACTTAAACTTCTCATTTCTTCTGATGACAACAAGAGTTCCTTGAGACTACCACAGCCAGTCAGCGTGAGATCCTTGAGAGATTTCAAGTGGTTATCCCCATCAAGATTCTCTAGTCTTTCGCACGTTCTTAGATTCAAAGAAACAAGTTTAGGGAGAGATAAGACAGACGGATGAATTTTACGCAAATTTTGACAATGTGTGAGGTCTATTGTTTCAAGATTTTGTGCCATGGGGAAATCAGGCAATTCCTTTAATTGTCGGCAAAAAGTGAGATTTATTACCTTTAAATTCGTAAGATCCTGTCACAATTAAAACAGAAAAGTTACTGAAAAAAGCCATTTTAATTAGAATAGATTGAAAATTGAAACATAAATTAGTATATAGTCCCTTCCTCGCTTATTATAAAAAACAACTTTCAAAATATGGATTAAATTTGATTAAAAATAATAAGTGTCTAAAATATATGTGTTTTCCAATCATACTCTTATTTATAAAGAAAGTACATGAAAGATAATGAGTAGAAGTTTATTACGGAAAGATAATAAGTGACATATATTTAATGAGGAGAAAAGCGGATGATCGGTTTAAAATTTCAAACAAAAATAATTTGTTTCTTCTATTTAGAAACTGTACTGAGAGAGATTGTTTATTGTGTAAAAAAAAAAAAAGGTCAAAGAGAATAATTACCTGTACACCATCCCATCGTTTTTTTATCTTGCTTCCGTTCAAATGGATTTCAACAAGTTTTTCTGGACAAAAACCCAATGGTAGAGACTCCAAAGGATAACTTTCCCAACAAAGATACCTTAGTTTATTAGAAAGTGAATCCAGCCCATCAGGAAGATGCACAAGTCTTGTCTTTATTTTAAGAGGTTTGATCTTGAGAAATCTTAAATTACTCATTTTTTAGAAAGTGCCTGCACTCAAGTACAGGTCATTTTCAATCTCCAATGTAATGCCTTCAATTGCATCCGTTCCCTAACATAATATAATTCAAATAATATTAAACAAGGAGATTTTTAAAATTCTTCCCAAAAAAAAGACAATGAGAACTTATGAAAAAACATAAATGAAAAATGAAGTTAATCCATCCTTCTCTTACCTTGTTATTTTCCAGTATGTCTTGAATTTCCTTTGCATCATTTAATCGGTTTCGTCTTTCAGGATGCTTTCTAAATTTCTCATAAACTATTTGTTCAGCCATTTCTTGTAACAAATCATGAATTTCTACTCTATTGTCTCTTGAAATAGTTACGAGTGCTTTATCTAAAAAGCTATCTATTCCACAATCCACATAGAAGTCATCACAAGCATCCATCACTCTCATAATATCTTCTTCTTTTTCTCCCTTGAAGAAGAATACAATGTCTAAAAATATCTCCTGTTCTGGTATATCAAGGCTATCATAACTCACCCTCAATATACTATGAATTTCTGCATTGGGATACTTCCTCAATTTTTTTAGGGTACTCTCCCATGTTGTCACTTTTTTAGAGTTCAAATGTGAACCCAAAACTTTTAATGCTAAAGGAAGACCTCCTGCATATTGAATTGCTTGTGCTGATAAATCTTCATATCCCATTTTAGTATCGGCTTGATTGAAAGCATGCCGACAAAAAAGTTGAAGTGATTCTTCCTTATTTAATTCTTCACTTCATGTACTTGATGAATTCCTCCACTATGAAGAACATGCTTGTCTCTACTTGTTATGATGACTTTGCTTCCTGGTCCCAATGAAAGATTGTCTTCAATAAGGAACTTTAATTGGCTGGAGGTATCTACATCATCAAGTACTAGAAGAACTCTTGTTCGACTTAGTCTCCTTTGAGTGTTGGATCTTCCTTTCATTGTGATATTTTCATCATTTAGTAGTACAGAGAGAATTTGTTCAAGCAAATGAGTCGATCCAATCCTCTTTGATTCCTCTCTCACATTCGACACAAAGCAAGAGCTATGAAATTGGTGAGAAAACTTCTCAAATATGGTACGAGCTAAGGTTGTTTTACCTATCCCTCCCTTACCCCATATTCCAAGAAGTCTAGCTCCCTGTGATTCAACTTTGATAAGCGATTCAACATAAGCCAAATTTTCCTCAAATCCAATTAGGCGGTTTGGCTCATTTATGTCTTTACTTCTCAACTTTTTCACTATTTCTCTGATTATTGCATCAATAAGATCAGGGTCATCACTAACATGTCAAAAGAAAAAAAAAATTATATTTAAAAATTAGGTAGTTGTTAAAAATAATACATTCATAGATATAATTATTTTTGAATTTTCATGTGGAAAACGTATAATTGATAACCTATGACAAGATATATTGAATAAACATGAAGAGAGAAAACTTACTGAAAATCTGAGGAATGATGATAACCAGATAAGTTTGCAGTTTCTTTTAGGACAGATCTCCAAATTTGCAATAAGTCATCTTTAAATTTCTGCTCATGTTGAGCAAATGCATTTGCATAAGATCCTTCTTGATGTCTGACATGTGATGGGTCTACATTATAGAAAACTGGAATTATAATCTGATTATTGACTCGCTTGCATTCCATGATTTTCTCTAGCTCTTGTAAACACCACCTTGAAGAAGCATAGTCTTTTGAGAATATCACCAACGCAATTATTGATCTTTCTATTGCTTCCAGAAGCGCGGATGATATTTTATCTCCCCTCTCTAGCCTTTCATCCACATACACATCTATCCCTTTTTGTTGTAATTGCTTTTTCAAATGGCTAAGAAATGTATGTCTGATGTCTGAACCCCTAAAACTGATAAAAACATCATATTTTTCCTGCCGAACTTGAGAAGTAGCAGCAAAAGCAGCTATTACTGAACATAAACAAAAATCATAGGGCGTTAATTATTGCTAATAAATTTGGATGCTAATCTCTCTACTCAAGTTTCAAATAATCACATTATAATAAACATATAACTATTCTAGTATTATATATGTTTACACCCATGTGAATTTAATTTGTGTCTAGCATGGGTAGCTTGGATATAATTAAGGCCGTTTTGATAATAAAATGGAAAAAAATTACGAGTAGGACCCAAATAAGGGACTCATTTACAAATAAATCCTGCAAATTTGCTAAAATAGGGTGCAGTCGTAAGGTTTTGAGTGTGATTTTTTGCACATGCAAATAACTAAATTGCCCTTTATTCAAATTTTACATATGAATTTACAAGCTAACCTCCTACATTTACGATTCAAACATCTTATATTTATAAGTAAATCCCCATAACTTTTGCGCTAGTCGTTAGAATTTAGCACATGGATTTACAAGCCCACTTTTTAGATTCACGAATCAACCTCTTTGATTTACAAATCAATCCCTTTGGATTAGTTTAGGGGCAATTTGGTCTTTTTGGTACAACCAAACAAATCATTCAGGGAACTTGGGAATTTTACTCTATTTTAGCACATTTATAAATAAGTCACATATTCATAATTTTTTTCTAAAATTAAAGACTCGGGATGCTGGCTTTCATGCGGAAACATTATTATTGCTTTGGGTATTTCAAGGAACAGAATCTAGAATCCAGATTTGAGACTATCATTCCTCATGATGATAGAAGCATAGAAATTAAACACAAAGCGTAAGAGTCAAACCTTTGTTCTTCCCGGAAGAACAGAAGAAATAATAGAAAGCGGCCATCCCAATGGCTATGAAAGAGAAGGCCACACCCACAAGCAATTCATTCTCCAGTGCCTCGAAGAACTCCATGCTCCAGTCCTTCAAGTGATTGATAATATAGGTAAAAAAAATCAACACATCGTAGTCAAACATATACATCTTACGTAAGGAATGAGGAACAAGATCATCGTACCTGGATAGATCAAACCTCTTCTGGCAAACTCAGATCAATCGTGATGATGTCTGCGTGAATTACAGTAATCCAATTTATATATGTGAAGAATTGAAGGGTTTCTGGGAAACTTCCTTATCAATACGGTGGGGAGTCTCTGGTAAAGTAAGTTGAATAATTTAAAATATACAGCAAGTTGGTTTCTGAGCGTTCCCATTTGTCGTGCCCCAAAAAGAAAATAAATATAAGAATCAAACAAATGTTTGCTTCGTTTCGTTGACTTGATTGTTTTATAGTGTCAAATGTTACGTTTTCGACCAACAAGCTGGTTTAATCGCAGGTTTTGGGTTGATATCCTGAACCTTTAGTTAAGTGCCCCAGAAAACTTATGCAAAAATAATAAGTAAATTTTTAAGTTTGATTCGCAAATAAGGCATGAGAACTTGTAAAACTTTTTTCTGTTCAAAGTTTAACTGGGAAATTTTTATAAAGATAATTTTGTTGATTTGGGTGCCTAAGGATGATTTCATACTAAGACTGAGAACTCCATGAAATATTTTAAGAGTTTTTTACTTGGTGTTAGATAATAAAATATTTGATTGGCTTGAAGGAGAGTTGTTGGGGGGGGGGGGGGGGGACCGGGGGTGGGAGTCTTGAGAATGTGAATTATTTAAGCTTCACATTTTGTCCGTATTTTGTACAAAGCTTCGAATTGAACAAAGAAAGGAAATGTATTAGAAGGCTCTAATTTGCTCGCACGGCTTTAATTAAGTACTAATAATTTAAAGACCATTTTTTTTTGGAACCATTCAATTTATAGATATTGCATCTTCGGTAATCAATACCCATATCCATTTGTTGGTTGTTATATGCTACTTTCATCTTTAATATAAGATTTAATTAACTAATTTGAGTTTCGGCCAAAAAAAATTAATTAGTTTGAGTAAAATTAAAAATATTAGTTAAATTAGTTAATACGATATGTTTTTAAAATACCCCTATAAAATTAAAAATATTAGTTAAATTAGTTAATACGATATGTTTTCTAAAATACCCCTAAAAATCTTCTTTCATTTTTCTCCCTTCCTTTCCTATTTGATTATTATTAAAGATATATCAATAAGATTAATTTTAAAAAAATTAATAAATATATAAAATAAGTCTTAAATATAATTAATTCTTCAGTTAGACCTATATTAAGGGCAAGAACAGTATATCTTGATCACTAAGCCATGGGTGATGGTACACACTGATCGAGCACGGATGAGGGACCCCCCCCCCAAAAAATTGGACGTAGATTTTCAAACATTGACGGCGCTTTAAATTAGCAGCCAAAAGTAATTTATTTTTAATTGAACTTTTAGAAAGTTAAGCATGTGTAAAATTAAATTAAATGATGTGATTTATGTTTGGATTAACTTTTATAATAAAGATGTTTGTAAAAGTAGAAGTTGTTTGGATTATTATTGAATAAATAAGTTTAGTTGTAAAATGATAAAAAAATTACTTTTACTAAATAATAAAAATAAAAAATAATGTACATAATATAATAATTTTAATATTATGATAGGAAGAAGTTATATTTAATGAATAAAATATTTTAAATGAGATATCATAGTAATGTGAAAATTTTTGAAGTGAATAATATTATATAATGATCGGATGATATATATTTTGTAAAATTTATGTAAATATAAAATAACAAATAATATTAAAATTTAAAAATCTTATAAAAATCATGTTAAAAACTATTTTTATTTAACGGAAAATTAAAAATAAAATAATTAAAAAATAATTGGGAAACATAAAAAATATGCAGAGAGATGCATAAATAACATAAACAAAAGAGCAAAAATATTTTCTGATTCAAAAAAGATTGCTTTTACCTAAGTTTTAACCAGGTTTTATATACTTTTATATTGTGCTCTAAAATCAACTTTTGACTCATAAGTATATCAGCCAAAAGCTACTGTAATAAGAGGAGAAATTTTTCAAACATGCTTATTAGTCATGAACTGTTTATAAGTGAGTTCAACTGTTAATAAATATGTGTAAACATCGTTCACATTCAACGCGTCTAAGTTCTTGATGATGTGTCTTCTAGAGGGAAAGTGTTGGATGACTTTGCTTTCCATTGTTCTCTTTTCTGCCTGGTTATGATTTTGCTACAACTTGCAAGACGCAATATGCTATTTTTTGTTTAATGATAGTCTTTCTCTGGCACAAAAGGAAGGGAAAAAAAAATCCAACCTGGACAGATTCCTTCATTGCTCCGGCCGAACACTATCATTTGCTTTTACTGTAGAGAAATATTCTACTGTTGACACATCTCTTCCTGAGACCTCCTTATAACGACTATTATTACTGGGAAGGGATAGTGTGTTTACAAGTGCTATCAGTTCATTGACTGATAGTGTGGGCGCATATATATGTGTGTGTGAGAGAAAGTTGGATTCTTCTTAACATTTAACGTGCATCCACAACTTAGAGTATTTTTTTTAGGTGTATCTAACATCCTAATGTATTTTTTGGTATAATTTTACACTTAACAATTTAAAATGCTAGATACATCAAAAAATAATTTGAAGTGTTAGACACCGTTAAAAAAATACTTTAGAATGTTGAATATATTACAAATATGTTAAGATATTAGATGTATCTAAAAAATACTTTGAATTGCTGGATGTACTTTAGCATTTTAAGTTAAGGATACTCTTTTGTTTTTGTAGTGAGAATATTCTTTTAATATTAGATTTGTTTTACCTGATTTATACTATAAGTTATATCACACAAAGTCGCTGATTTTTTCTTCGAAGAGTTTTTCTTTCCGACTTAATTATTTTGCATTATTAAGGACAATAATAGATTTATGATTCTCAAATGCTTTTACGGACGCATGATTAAATTTGCATATACATATGTATGTATATAATATATACTGTGTGTGTAGACGTAATTAGGTATCTTTTGAAATATCCTTAGAATAAAATAACTTAAAACTTTTGGGTAGGCTTGAAAGAGATATTCCAAAGTTCGTTTTGGTGGTGTTGAAGTGATTGCAGTTTTGGCTTATGTTCATTCTCATCTCTTTGTTCTGATGATGGCTCCCCATCAATGTCACTCCAGCTTCAATATTGAGAATAAAGTATCGGAAAATCTCTGTCGTCTCTTCTCCAAGACTAGAGAAGGCATAAATGAAAGTGAGTCATGTTCATCAAACCAGTTCCGCTGCTTCTTGCCTTTAACTCGAAACTAGTCAAATGCTTTGGTTATTTAGTCGATCGTACAATGATGCCAACAAAACCAATCGAGTATTGCATGTTACCCATAATTTAACATCTTCCACACAACACATTCATGTGGTAACCGCAGGCAAAAGGATTGCCTAACTAGAGAGTATGAATAGCATGGTGTGAGAGTACATATATAATAATCACCTAGGCTAATTTTGAGTTTAACTCATTGATGCCATAACATGAGGTTGGTCAAGCATACAAGAATGATACCTAAACATCACACGAACATAATCCTGCAGAAGAGAATGATATCTGTTCAGAGTTATGAAAATTTCTGACAGTTGAATGCTGATAGAATCTTGTTGGCATATAACAATTGTAAATCTTCACTTGGTAATTTTGTTGTATCCATTTGATGTTCATTAATATATGGAGCTAAAATTGAGATGGGGAATGTCTCATCCAACCAAACAGCAGTTGAAATTTGTGTTTATAGATGAAAGTGCAGTTGCGTAAAGCTACTATTAAAATTTGGAAGTAAAATGGCAATTTGGTAGCTGTATCAGTGACTTCCCTTTAAAAAATCACTTTTTTTCTCTAGCTTTTGGATCTGAAATTGGATGAAACCAATGTTGCTTCACATAATGAGTTACATAATACACTCTGTTTTTAAGAAACACAGACTGTAAGATGAAAACATTCTTCTGCTGTAAGATGCAAGAAATCAACTTGATGATGCTGTCACCAGTATTTGTAGGAAAGACCAAGCACTAAGCAACAAGCCTCATTGTATTTCTGATGCTATTCTTCTGTCAACCTCTCATTGTCATAAGCACCCTTGCAGTTGTAACTGCTACATCTTCATAAATAGAAATGCAGCTCTTTCCCCCACTTCCTTTGAGAAGAAAACCTGCTCGTTACAAGTTAAAATGGAAAAAAGAATGGGAGTATAAATGCTGTGATTGAAAATAAAGGTAATTATTTCATCATGGTATATGTATTTTCAATAATCCTATTCCCTTCCTAATTTGGTCTCCATTGCGATCCTAATTCAAATTTTGCTTCGTTTCAGAATTTTAGATTCAAACAATTAAGGCTATAAGTTCAACTATACACTACAATTCAAAGTGAGCAGAAACTAGTAGTAAGAATCAATATGAACTATATGACGTAAGAAGCTTTAAGCAGTGTTCTTACTGCCATTTATATTGTTATAGGCAGATAGAGAGAACAGAGAGAGCACAAGGTAAGCAGTAAAGATATATATTCAATTGACACCCATACAACTTCTAGCATCCTATTTATGGACCACTACCCGCTTTCTATTTACCTTAATGGCCTTACTAATATTATTATTAAGCAGTGTTCTTACTGCCATTTATATTTATAGGCAGATAGAGAGAACAGAGAGAGCACAAGGTAAGCAGTAAAGATATATATTCAATTGACACCCAATACACTTCTAGCATCCTATTTATGGACCACTACCCGCTTTCTATTTACCTTAATGGCCTTACTAATATTATTACACATATCATATATGCACAATTTTCAAAGGTTAAAAATAGAATAAATAAGGGGCTGAAGCCATAGAAATGACATATGGAGGGGAAAGAAAGTACAGCATTTACCTTCAATTTGAAATTAAAATTTGAGTAGCCGTGAAGGACTAGGGCTAGAATAGAATCATATATAGAAACTCATTATTACAAATGAACGGAAATGCAAACATGTCAGAGACAAATTTACCTGAAAAAGATGCTACAGCTTGTGTTCATACTTGGATTGGCCTGCCTAATTAGCCAATATTATAAATATGAAAGTTAGACAGTTGAAATACATGGCATCCATATATGTTTTTCTCTCGTTCTATATTTCATTCTGTGCAAGGCTTTCCTATAATTCCAAAATGTGCATGAACACAACTCAGATTTATTTGAATTCACTGCCGCTAGTAGAGGCAGAGGAAAAGTTTAAATGAAACATATAGAAATTGACCAGCTATGAAGAAAACCAAAATACTTACTGCTATGCAAGTATTACACATTTATATCCAGAATGATACGATAAAGTCAACTCAACTCCTTTCCAAAGAAATCTGCATATAACAACAACTAAAAGACAATCAGAGCCCACTGTAAAAGAGAAAAAGGAGGGAATAAAATCACATATATCAAAATGTAACCATTCTATTTCTTTAAAGGATAGTAATGAAGGCTGTGGAAGATGATAGATGCTATTTGCATCACATTCAATTCAACACATCACAAAGTTTAACTACATTACTGAGCTCCATGGATATAAGTCACAAGCACAACTAAGAATTAGCATTGGCACATGTTAGTATCTACATGGACAACAGAACATGGAGAGCAGCGCAGGGAACTAAGGGATGCTAATGGAATTAAAAATCAATTAATCCATTATCTCTTCATTTTTTGACGTGCAATGCCCATGGATAGAAAATACAGATAGTTGCATGTTTGGTAGCTTACTTTGGAGATTTTTCTAACGTTCATTCATGTTCAGCATTAGACTCACAGACTAGTTTCATTGAGAATAAAGAATTCTTGTCATACATGGTTGGAGATTTTCTTATCATTGGCCATTAAGGCTGATTAAATTCAGATTCTACAACTTGATCCATCCTACATGATTGGAGATTTGCAGCAGGACAAAAAAAGACATATTTGAATAAAATAATGGTATAGCGCAGGAAATTACCCATAAAAAAAATTGTTGGAATTGGAACTGAATTCTCAAGCTTTTCTTTTGTTACTCAAAAAGGGGGCATCCACCTCAAGTTCCATGTCCTCTGGCGCGCACGAGTGCTTCTACTAACGGAATCAGGTAATGGCTGATGTAACAGTGCCACTTCAGCATTTGGGTTCTCATCTGGGCCAGTGATATTATTGCCTGTAACAATGCCCTTCTCCAACTTTAATTCCATTTGTAGACCTTCCTCTTGTAATTTGGAACGCATATATTGGCCAAATTCCGGCTGATGTAACAGTGCCACTTCAGCATTTGGGTTCTCATCTGGGCCAGTGATATTATTGCCTGTAACAATGCCCTTCTCCAACTTTAATTCCATTTGTAGACCTTCCTCTTGTAATTTGGACGCATATATTGGCCAAATTCCGCACGCCTTTATCAAGTGATCATATTTTTTTTCGCCCAGAACGGAAGAAGAATTTCAATGAAGAATTCACATGCAAACTTACAAGTGGTGCCCTTATCAAATCGCCTTCTTTGTGTTCCCTTGACTATGCTTTCCATTGGATCATACCATACAAAAACATGATCTGTACTCAATTTCATGAGGCGAGGGAATCTTTTTCATCCTTGCAATTGATCTCTTCATCTTCCAAGTGGAATTTTCTGCAAATTGATGCTACGACATGGCTTAAGTCTAATGGAGAAAGAATACAACAACAAACAAAACCCAATAAACGGTCAGAAGAAACTGGTGCAAGCTCAATAGTAGCAATGGACCTCTCCATAGTCTGAGAATTTTTTAAGCCCGTTGGAATTGTGCTTCCTGGGTAACAGACTTTAAGCTCACAAGAGTAGTTGTTGCATATTGCTTGCATCAGTGATAAATCAATGGTTTCCAATGATGTGCATTCATTGACATAAAATTGAGTAATGGAAGGTGGAAGTTCTGGTAAGGATCTAAGCCACTTGCATTCTCCCAGATCAATTTCTCTCAGCTTTGAAAGATGCTTGATGCTATTAGGCAAACTACTCAAGCTGCACCGTCGTAGTGACAGAATCTTCAATAATGACAGGCCATTGATATTGTCAGGGATTTCACCAACCTCACAGCGTCTCAAATGCAGTTCTTCTAAAGAATGCCAGGCATCAAACAGAATGAGTAATTTTGATTTGTCAATTCCTTCTGTAAAATTAGAAAGAAAGAATATTTTCAGAGATGTCAAGCTTCTTAGCTCATTTATTTGAAAGCTCTTGAGACGCCAACCGATATGTAGCTCTTCCAGTTTATTGAACCATCCTACTTGCAAGTTCAATGTTTTGATACTAGTATTATTCAAATGTAAAATTCTCATTTCTTCTGATGCCACCAAAAATTCCTTGAGAGCAATACATCCAGTCAGCGTGAGATGCTTGAGAGATTTCAAAGGGGTGTCCCCATGAAGATTCTTTAGTTTGCAGCACCCCGCTAGATTCAGAAGAAACAAGTTTAGGAAGAGATAAGAGAGATGGATGAATGCTACGCAACTTTTTGCAATATCGGAGGTCCAGTATTTCAAGATTTTGTGCCATTGAGAAATCAGGCAGCTCCTTTAACTTTGAGGAAAAGCTGAGATTTATTGTCTTCAAATTCATAAGATCCTGTGACAATTAAAAGAGGAAAGTTACTGAAAAAAGCCCTAATAATTCAATTAGACTGAAGAATGAACATGCATTAATATATAGTTACCTGCACACCATCCCATAGTTTCACCACATTGCTGCAAACCATATGGATTTCAACAAGTTTTTCTGCACAAAAACCCAATGGTAGAGACTCCAAAAGATATTCTTCCCAACAAAAATATCTTAGCTCATCAGAAAATGACTCTAGACCAAAAGGAAACCGCACGGTATAACCTCCTTTTAACTTAGAACTAATCCTGAGAAATCTTAAATTACTCATCTTTTTGAAAGCGTCAGCACTCAAGTGCAAGTGGTTTCTAAATTCCTTTGGGTTCAGTGTAATGCCTTCAATTGCATCAGTTCCCTGACATAACAAAATTCAAATAATATTAAACAAGTGGATTTCAAAAATTCTTCAATGAAAACAATGAATGAAAAAGGAAGTTAAATGGCAGGATCTCTTACCGTGCTATTTTTCAATACATCTTGAATTTCATTTACATCATTCAATCGACTTCGTCTTTCAGGATGCTCTCTAGCTTCCTCACGAACTATTTCTTCAGCCATTTCTTGTAATAGATCATGAATTTCTACTTTGTTGTCTCTTGAAATAGTTATGAGAGCTTTATCTTGAAGGCTATCTATTCCACAATAGGCATAGAAGTCATTACAAGCATCTAACACCCTTATAATATCTTCTTTTCTTTCTCCCCTAAAAAAGAATGCAATATCTAAAAATATCCTTTGTTCTGGCACATCAAGTCCATCATAACTCACCCTTAATACATTATGAATTCCCATATGAGGATACTTTCTGAATTTTTTGAGGGCACTATCCCATGCTTTTGTACTTCTAGAGTTCAAATATAAACCCAAAACTTTTATTGCTAAGGGAACGCCTCTTGCATACTGAATTGCTTGTGCTGATAAATTTTCCCAAAACTTTTATTGCTAAGGGAACGCCTCTTGCATACTGAATTGCTTGTGCTGATAAATTTTCATACCCCATTTTGGGATAAGCTTGCTTGAAAGCATGCCAACAGAAAAGTTGAAGTGATTCTTCCATTTTTAATTCTTTCACCTCATGCACTACTTGAACTCCTCCACTAACAAGAACATGTCTGTCTCTACTTGTTATGATGACTTTACTGCTTGGTCCCAATAAAAGATTTTCTTCAATAAGATACTGTAATTGGTGGGAGGTGTCTACATCATCAAGCACAAGAAGAGCTCTTATTCGACGTAGCCTTCTTTGAGTGTTGGGGCTTTCTATCATTGTGAGATTTCCATCATTTAGTAGGACAGAGATAGTTTTTTCAAGCAAACAAGTCAATCCAATCTTCTTGGATTCCTCTCTCACGTTTGATACAAAGTAAGAACTATCAAACTGGTGGGAAAATTGGTCAAATATAGCACGAGCTAAGGTTGTTTTACCCATTCCTCCCTTACCCCAAATTCCAAGAACCCCAACTTCTTGTGAGCCAATTTTCATAAATGACTCAATAGCAGCCAAATTTTCCTTGAATCCAATTAGGTGCTTCGGCTCAGTTGTGTCTTTATCTTCCAGCTTTTTTGATACATCTTTGATTATTTGATCCACAAGATCGGATTCATTGCTGGCATGTTAAAAGGAATAATTATTTTTTAAAAACACCCCACATTTGCTAAAAAAATGCATGCATAGACATAATTATTTTTAATTTTGTATGGAGAAACATGTAATTGATAAATTAAGACAGGATATATTGAATAAATATAAAGTGAAAACAACTTACAAAAATTTGAGGAATGATGATAACCAGATAGGTTTGCAGTTTCTTTCAGGACACATCTCCAGACTTGCAACAAGTCAAATCTGAACTTGTACCCATGTTGAGCAAATGAATCTGCATAAGATCCTTCTTGATGCCTGACATGTGATGGATCTATATTATAAAAAACTGGAATTACAGTCTGATTATTGACTCGCTTGCATTCCATGATTTTCACTAGCTCTTCTAAGCACCACCTTGAAGAAGCATAGTCTTTTGAAAGTATCACTAGTGCAATTATTGATCTTTCTATTGCCTCCAGTAATGTAGATGATATTTCATCTCCTCTCTGTAGCCTCTCATCGATGTATACATATATCCCCTTCTGTTGTAATTTCTGTGTTAAATGGCTAAGAAATCCATGTCTAACATCTGAACCTCTAAAACTGATAAAAACATCATATTTTTCTTGTCGAACTTGGGAGGGACTAGCAAAAACAGCCATTGCTGAACATAAACAAAAATTGGGTGTTAATTTTTTCTAAATAATTTG